TTGATAATGTCTCTTGTTAATGATTTTCAACGAAAACGGTTTATTCACAATGACCATGCCTTGTTCTGTGCATCTTTTCACTTTAGTTCGGTCCGTGAATTAGTTTTCGGCATTTTGATAACGCATTTCTTACACACGTGTTTATACAGACCATTCGTTGATTGATTCATTATAGTAAACGGTGGAAAATTTACTTTATATTATTTCGTGGTACCTTAGATTGAAGTACGAAATCGTTGTCTCTACCCTTCTACTTCTGAACTATATTAGTTGAAACACAATTTGGTCGATTTCTGAATACTGGTGTTTGTTTTAATGAATAGGGTGTGCTACTTTATGGTCACGGCTAACTTTCGAAGGTTTTGTATAAATCTTATTCCTAGCTTTATAGGTCGGAACAGGTTGGTGTTCAGGCTACGGGGCATGTTTTCTGTTTTTATTTTAACGTTTTTGAGTTTCGATGAGGCGTTGTCTTGTAGCCAAATATCGGCGCATTTCGTCTTATTTTGTAAGTGTTCTTAATGAGATATTCAAAAAGGGGGAATTTTATCACCTGAAGATGTATGTAATTACTCCTATAGCGAAGGGTGGCGATCGGGAATAGCAAGACATTTACACTATTTAATAGTAGCTTATAATATTATATTTAATGTTCTGGCTGTTTTTTATATAAAGTGCTTAATTTTTATAGAGCTGTTTTCGAATAGGGCTCTGGTGGATCGTCCTATATCCAGAGTTCATTTTGGTTGAATTGGTGCATTTTAACTATGAGATTATACTACGATGCTTATATGTGACAGTGGCATTTCAACATATTACAGATCATATCACTATGTTTTATTAGTTTCTTTGTACGTAAATATATCTTACTGTTTTCAGCTTTAAAAGATGCTCGGAAGAAAATTGTTTCTACTAACTTGCTGCTATCACCTTTTCTTTTACTTTACCTTTTCAGTTTTGTTTTGGAAAAAAATGGCTAATGTTAGGATTTTTCTTTAAATAAATTATACTATTTTTCATGTGTGTGTGTATTAGGTGATGCATGTGTGTGTGCCAGCTCGCATTTGCTAGTAACATGTATTAACAATCACGGAGTGACGTTCTAATAGCTGATCTACTTTTAATGGTTTTGTTTGGGTTCAATACTGTGGGTTGAATTATCTTCTTTGGCTTTACGGTGTAACCAGAAATATTATACCCCTATACGTCAATAAACAAACTAATGGGTTGAGCACATTTTGTAATGGTTGCTTAGAAACCATTGTACACCAGTTTCTTCATCATCCGTTTATTCAGAATGTGTGGTCTTTTGTTTTTAATTTGTACTTTAATTCTGGGTTAAGAGTTAACAGTCCGGTAAAGATAACAAGGGGCTTTGGTTGGAAAATTGTCGGGTTTACGCAGTGCAACTTTTATCTTCTATGGCTAAATATGTGATTTTTAAACCTCGATGTATCAAATTAATTAGAGGTGCAGTCTTACATTTTAGAAGTTACTTTAAAGCTAAATTAGTACATCGTAAGAGGTACTTATTGTCTAATGCTTTATTTATATTTCCAGTAAAAAAGTGATTGCGAGTTGATTGTGGTTGATATCCAGGGGTATCGTTTGTCTAGTTGTTGCAGTAGCTGCTCTAAAGGCGAATGTTTTCTTGTTTTTCTCTTCTTGTAGTGGGTTGGGATATTTATTTTCTTTTTGTATACTTTATGTATTATTATTATCCTAACTATTATATATGTTTTGTATTGAGATCTGTTGTGTTTATGATTCTAATTTTTCTTTGTGCTGCTGATTTTTTTTCTTTATCATAGAGTCAGTAAACGTTATATGTAGGGATGGCCAAGGAACTCAATGGGCATAATACAAATATGTACACTAAAATATCAATAATGAAGGAGAACTTTACTTTAAAAAAAAAGATTGCCCCTCAAATTCATTTGTTTCTCTACCAACAAGTACAAAATTAATTCAAGAAACCACCGCCAAGATACACCAAATTGTTCATCTTTCTTCTTGTTTCATGCGAGATAACTATACAACTACTTTATCACTAACTTCAGTTTAAACCTAAATCCACTCTATTTGTTTCTGGACAGTTCACGAAGTTATCATTTATTTATAATAACTAGTATAGTAATTTAAAAAACTCATAATTCTAGTGTAACTAATATTATCATTATTCTTTAGAGTTAGATTTTTTACAGAAACCTGGTGTTCCTTTAAAAACCTTTGTAGATGGTAGAACAGGAATTACCAGCCAATTATAATTGAACATTAGATGACTGAAAATTGTAGAATACCCAATGCATTGTACACTATGCAATTGATGGCTTTATAGAGTCAACCCTATATTATGTATGAAGTGAAGACGTAAAAAATCACTACACGTAACAATAAATTCCATTACACACTTTCATAGAATACATTAACTTTCAGTTATGAGAAAAAAGTCACAAAACAAGTAATAGAAAAATATTTTGTTGGGATGACAGTGCCAAACAAGAATATGTGGATGATACAGGTATACACAGATCATCCCTACAAGACTTTCAATATAGAAATTTAATGTTACATTGATAAAAACGAGTACAAAATGTTTACGAGGTCGGTCAATTTGACCGATGTTGTAGCGAAGGTCTTTTATAACACAGGCCTGTGAATTTAAACTTCATAAAAGCTGTTCTGGTTTTAATAACGAATTTTCCATTTATCAACTACGCAAATTTCGAGAATAGAATTCGTTTTCTTTTTTTTCATGTAAGGATGTTTTTACAAATCAGAAAGAAAAAAACTCTTACTTAGATCAAACTATTATTTCGTTTATCACAATGAACATTTTTTTTATTTTTATGGTTGTTAACAAAAACGAATGTGCATCCTCATTCAGCTTGTTTATCTATTTTGTTTTAAATCTACGTCTGGAGCAAATATTTTCAATGACCAGCAGTAATCAGCCATCATGCTGATGTTTCACCTTCCCCAATACCTCCTCTCAATTTTCCTGATGAATCCTTTCACCTGTTCTTCGCTAACGGCACTTAGGTTTTCAGGGAAATTCCTATCCCTATCATCATTTCTATTGACATCAGATTCATAATCAGATGAAACTGTATCAAGAGTCTCGGGTGAAGTAGGTACAGGTACATCAGGTCTAAGGTTGTCAACATTTCAATGTAACCCTATTTCAATGAAAATTATTCACTTATGTAAAAATACATATGACGTTTTCTGAAAAAACTGTATGTGGTAGAGAAAAATGGATATCATTTTAGGATTCAGCATACAGGAATTACTGTATGACATGTAAATATTTCAAGAGAACAAAACCATCGTAGGTCTGTGTAATCAAGATATGTTTTGACTCAACTTGGTTTTCTCTGTATCTAAGTCCAAGGCTCTTTCATAATCATGTGTTAAGTTCTAGTGACATTCCAATAACAATCGCGTAGTTTAAAGTTATTGGAACTGTTGAAAATATCTGTTTTACGAATTAAAGAATTTGGCCATTTAAAATATTGAACATAGAAATAAATACATTACTGCTGAGCTACTTTTGAAAGTATAATAGATAAGAAAGGATTAGAATAGGATCAATTACTTACATTTTATTATTCATTAAACTTGTAACATTGTTTTCGAAGTAATAAATAACTTTTAACCAATCTTTTGTATTCACCACAACAGGTGATTCACTATTGTACCACAACGGTTCACTTTTTTCCACAAAAGATCAAGACAACGACGTCCATGCAAAAAGTTGTTCTAGTGACTATAGTGGTGGTGGTGGATGGTGGTTTAAAGGTTGTGCCAATAGTAATTTAAATGGTGTCTACTACAAGGATGGTAAAGCTTCAAAATCTGGGAGTGGAATTATTTGGAACACATTTGGTGGGAATGATATTTCTCTTAAAAGAACAGATATCAAAATTAGACCATCTCATTTTACTATCTCAAATGTGTTACTATTATTCAACAATTATAAGTATTCTGCAAACCATATTTAACAAATAAATTAATCTACTTTTACAATTCACAAATTATAAATACGATATTAGATTAATAAAGTACGAAATTATTGGAAAACTACTAGAATTTTAAGTACATAAAATCCAACATTAATTATTAATGGACTTTTAAGGAAATGTTACTTTTCAAACATCGTAAAGCATCTTTTTATTGGGAGAAAAAGGATTAATAGTACACATAAGGTAAAACTATAGAATCAAACAGATACTCTTATTCTTAATTGGTCTTATAAGCATTTTTACGATCTAAAAATAAACAGTGAATTATTGCATATTAACATTTAATAGCATATCAATATTATTGTTTTTTCTTACAATAAAGACTAAACGTCCTTGTGTAACCTTCTTGTTAACACTGAATGCTTTTTCTAATAATAACTCATAAGATGCTGTAGAAACAGGTGTTTTGGTAGTGACAATATTTATGACTGAGAAAAAGGACATTTTCTGGGCATAAAGTCAGGAAGACAGGGGCTTGTGTACACCCAGCCATCTCCTTGTGCACGTCACTAAAAGCCATATATCTTCTTTCTGGGACGAATGAAATATTTAAAAATGTACGTACAATGTATCATGTTTGTAGACCTATCTGTCTTACAAATCTAGCTCCTGTAATCTTAGTCTCCAATAAAGAGCAAAAAATATATTAAAATAAAGGTCTACGTAGATAAACAAGTCATTTAATATGTATATATAACTCATAAATGTGTTCTTATACTTTCTGTGAAGTATTTAATAATCCGTTTATGATATTCGTATAACTTCGAGTTTTGATTGTTTGATAACAATCACAACAATCATTCTTCCAAAGAATTCATAAACATTATTCGTCATCGTGTAAGTCTAAATATAGAAATCTAAATTAAAAATGACAATTTTTCTTACCTGCATCACCACTATAAGAACCAAGAAACATCTGATAATTTCGTAAATCACTCAACAGAACAAAATATGAAAATTTAGCATAGACTTTTGTCCCTGAGAAATCCTCCAAATCCACCCTAAGCTCCACCTCCTTGTGGTTTGTTAAGGCAAATATTTTGTCGTTTCCTACAACATAAGGATATTGAAAGTCATAATAAAACACAAAGTATTAAACAAGCTATCATATTATTTCTACATTAATTATAAAACAACAAAATACAAGTCCAAGAGGATAAAGAGGCTAATTATAATAAAGATCTGGGAATTAACTTAATCATATCCGTTAGGTCTAGAAAACTAATAGGACATCATTACTTGAAACACATAATACCAACAATTACTAGGCTATTACTACACGTTAGTAGCGTATTCAATAGTGTGTTCAAGAGCAATGTGAACAAACATCAAACAGCACTTAATGCCATATAAAGCCCTATTGAATGTCATATACCTAAATTACAATATTGTAAACGTTAAAGTTGGAAACTTTTTCAATATTTTGCTGCTATAATTAACTTCAAAGGTCGGAAGGTAAACGTATAACTTAAGCAAATATTTGGTAGTGTCTACTTCTATTCCTAAAGACATATCAAATACTACAATTAAGTTTAACTCAGAAACGATGTATCTAATACTGTGTGTTCCCAATATAAATTCCATAAAATACAACTAATTATAAATATTCGAGAAGAACGTCCTGTTTAAAATCTTTAGCTTGGAGAACTCGTTCAACAGAATCTAATATTCAAAATGTCTTAACTTGAACAGATGTACTTGAATTACAATAATATCTGTGTCTAAAGTTTCATCTTTCACAAATCATTATCATAACACTCTAATAACCTTTGTTTTAAGTTCTTAACTCTGACATGATAGAAAATTAATGTATTTTAAATATATGATATTAAACATACTTACTAACACTTTTCATAAGATTCAATATATTTGAAACAAAGTTTCCATTACAAATAGTTCGTAAGTCTCTTTATATAATTAGTAAACGTTGAAAAATAATTCAAAGTAATTTTACCTATATTAAATTAATATTGTTCTGTAACAGTATTTTTGTTTGTTTGTTGTTAAGCATTGGGCTATCTGTGCTCTTCCCACCGTTGCCATCGAAATCCAATTTTGAGATTAATAAACTCTCAGATATAATACAAGATATTTCGAGTCTTCAAAACAATAGACGAAAATGAAACGTTTAAACACTAATACAAAAGTACATTAATTAAGAACTGTATTATAGAACAAAACAAAAGATTGTTAGGTTTGTCTCTCATGTTCTAGTTTATGTTTAGTTTGATAATTATGAATACTTCATGGTAGATTTGTAGATGATTTGGTGATGAACACGTTCAACACATCTGGGAAGCAAAGAGGAGTCAGATCCTAACGTCGATTACTCCGTATCACTTGGCTGGAGACCCTAATGGTACGTGTTAAGATTGATGACAATCGGTCCAGCGGTTCACTACTTAAAATATAACACACACAAACTTCTATCACATAATTTAGTTAATTCAAATAATTCTTAACTTACTGTTTTTACAAGTATTTTGTAATTTTTTATATTATAATTTTATTCCATATATTTGGTATAAGACTCCACTTAATTGTTGGAAAAATGCCTGTTAACCCACATGCTAACCCTATATTTACATAACCTATATAATTACATGAAGCATACTAACCAAGCCAAAAATCATCGTTCAGAGATCCAAATCCCACACTGTACTGATTCCAGGATTGATTGAACTCCTGAGGTTTATCATCGCAGTACCCGCGGCGCTGGATTATCTTTAGTAAAGAAAATGTATTCAAATTCAGCTTTATGATTACTGAGGAAAATAATTTGAGTTAAATATATTAAAATAAATACAAAATAAGTAAAGATACCACAGTGATTTACCTTAACTAACTATTTTCACACTAATAGTTTCAGTCAAAGTGATACCTGTATAGAACATTTAAACTTATTAATATTTACTTCCAAGTTT